AAAAAAAAATTTCTACGTGTATGTAATCTGTAATTGAAGATGAAAAGGTGATGTTGTGTGGAATGTTAATGTACTTCTTAATCCTTATGCATTCTCACCTCTCAATTGAGATTAACAACTCTGTGGCTAAGGATTAAATCTGGAGTGCGATTCACATGAAACCTTGCATGAATTCTGAAATGTATTATCTTCTATCAGGGAATCGAGGCTACATACTCTGTGACTGTTGAGGATGTGGAATGTGCTTTCTTTGATCAAGTTGAAAACCTTCGTAATTTTGGCTCCCATAATAAGGAAACTATTGCTCACCTGGTTTGGGCATTCTTTAGTTATTGGGCATATGGCCACGATTATGCAAATTCTGTCATATCTGTTCGAGAGGGGAGCACAATCAGGTGAGATATTTTACAAGATCTTAACAATGAATTTCACAACTGTAATGTAATTGCCTCAAATTTTAATGACTACATAAATCTATGATGGTTCTAAATGCTCAGTTGACTGTGATGACTGCCTGCTATTAATCATATACTGTTTTGCAACTTCTTTTTCTTCAGATTAAAAATCTATCTGCTGACCATATGATCTTCAACTGTACAGCAAGCGAAAAAAAGATTGGACAAGGAGGGTAGGCAATGATCGACACTTGATATGCATAGAGGATCCCTTTGAGACGTCCCATGACCTTGGTCGAGTTGTGGACAAGTTCAGCATAAGAGTTTTGAGGGGGGAGTTTGAACGTGCTGCTGAAATCATGCAGCACGATCCAAATCCTTGCATAAAGCTGTTTGAGCCCTACGTTCCTCCCCGTTGACCAGATATCTTAACATGTTTCTATCTAAGGTCGGCCTTTTTCTGGCTTGATGAGTGCTCCCTCCCTTCTTACCATCACTTTTGTTCTCTGATAAATGTTAATAGTGTGTATCTAGGGTGCATCCAGAGTGAACACTTCTTTCACATTTTACTGAAAAATAGTATGTATTTTTAGGCTTTTGTTTATGCTCCTCCACCATGAAAGGTATGAAAGTTTTCTTCTGCATATTTTGTCTCTTCTTTCGCAATTCTTGAAATCTTCTGACGCTGTCACCCTCACTCAGATCGTTTAGGCCCATATTAGTTTGGGCTTTAACTTATGTCATCCTGTACGGCCTCGTGAGGTGTGGGCTTTCTGCTCACTTTGTTACGACGAGCCCAAAGTGTAGGTTAGTTTTTCCTGTCATTTCTCCGGAGTGGGTTTGAAAATTTGAGTAAGATTGTCTTTATTTAATTTGGTTGTTAAAAATAATTAATAATTAATAAAATAATTTTTTATATTTTAATATATTAAAATAAATTTATAAATAATATTTATATATAAAGTGTTAGAATACCTTCATTTTTAAAATTCTTAATGAAAATTATTTAAATAAATTTATAAATAATATTAATATATAAAGTGTTAGAATACCTTCATTTTTAAAATTCTTAATGAAAATAATCTCC